AACATTTATTTAGCTGAGGAACTGGGAGACATGGCATATGTGGAGGGAGGTGGCTCTGTACTTCAAGCATGTGGTTCCTGGAATCAAAGTCCGGTCCTAAGGCTTGGCACCAGTACCCTTCCCACTGAGCCATCTTGCTGGCTGGCTCTTGGCTTTCTGAGATAAGCTTTTACTCAGCAGCCCAGGCTGGCTTAGAACTCACTTATAGTCTAGTCTGGCCTCAAACTCACAACAACCCTGCTAGCTCAGCCTTCCAAGAGCTCAGTTGTAAAGGGAAGCCTTCCAGCTAGCCTGGTTCCACAGCCGAATCAGTTTATAGCCTCCTGTGTGTTCATTTGGGATCAACATCCTCCTGCATGACGGTGTTTGGGGAACTTCACATTAGCTGGGCAGGAGCCCTGCCCCTGCTCTGAACTTCTAGTATCTTCCAGGCAGGACTTCAATTTCAAAACAATGCCCTCCTGGAGCAGGTGGCTACGATCACGAGAGCCCTCGTCCTTTCCTAATGGTGCTGTTATTTACATTTTCAATAATCCAAAGACTTGGAGCACCCCAAGTCCCATCTGTACTATGTGAGAAAGCTCTCACTGACTGGTGACCAAGGGCCAGGCAGATCAGTGATGACCACACAAGAAGCATGAGACCAGACTGTGGCCTGAACATTCACACTCCACTGGGGAGACCATCACCAACACGGTGGATAAGGGATGAAGCCTGGCCCCTGTGAATTATTATAATGAAAGACCCCTACCCAGGACCCCCCTAGGAAAAGAAAAGCAAGGCCAGGCCGTTGCCTAATGAAAGAAACCCAGACCTGGTGCCTCGCCCAGCTGGCAGGATGTCAAACAGGATCTGTGGTCACCAGAGCAGTCATGGGATCCAGATAATAATTGCTGAAGCGTGCCGGGGTCTTTCATAAAGTAATACCAGGAAACTTAGTCCGTGGGAACTACCCCTGCCCCCAAGATGAGCCAATGAAATGCCTGTTGCTATGCTGATACTTATGTAACCATTAAAACTCTATAAATATTGTGCTCCCTGCAAGCCCGGTATGCTCTGCACCCGAGTTGCAGTAGCATCCGCAGGCGCCTGTGTACTCAATAAATCACCTCTTGCATTTGCAGCCAGTGGTCTGGCCCCGGTTCTTGGGCAGAGGGTTCGGTTCAGTGCCCGGTGCTTTGATGCCGAGGTCTTTCAATAACAGGGGCAGCCGGGCGTTGGTGGCGCACGCCTTTAATCCCAGCACTGGGGAGGCAGAGGCAGGCGGATCTCTGTGAGTTCGAGACCAGCCTGGACTACCAAGCGAGGTCCAGGACAGCCTCCAAAGCCACAGAGAAACCCTGTCTCGAAAAACCAAAAAAAAAAAAAAAACAGGGGCAAAGAGAGGTATAATGAGTTCTTGTCATGGCTCTCCTACTTTTAAATTAAACTAACACTTAATATTTTAAAATGTATTATAGTGCATATGCATAAGCAAGATGCATCTAAAGGTCAGAGGACAACTCCTTAGAGTCAGTTCTCTCCTGTCTTTACCTGGGTCCTCAAGCTTAGGTCTCCAGACCTGTATGGTGTCCTCGGAGCCACCCCACCAGCCCTTTGGCTTCCAAGTTCACAGACCCTCAGTGTCTTTCTGTGACAGTGAAGTGGTTGGGGGCTAGGCTAAAACCCGTGTTGTGCAGGGCATTAGTGGCGCACGCCTTTAATCCCAGCACTTTGGAGGCAGAGGCAGGCAGATCTCTGTGAGTTAAGAGTCCAGCCTGGTCCACAGAGCGAGTTCCAGGACATCCAGGGCCACACAGAGAAACCCTGTCTCAAAACAAAACAAAAACAAGCAAACAACAACTGTTATGCCCAGGACTTGGGACACCTGAACATGACCACCACAGAGCCAAGTACTCCCCCACCCACCCTCCACCCAATCCCACCCCACCCCACCCCCACTAGCTAGAGCGTGCAAGCCTCGGCGTTTTCTGATTGGGTCAGAGGGGATGCTTCCTGGGTCAATTGGCCCCCGGGGTTAAGTAAGCATTTGGAAATTTCTGTTAGAACATCTGGTGACCTACTGGGAAAACAGGTGACCATGATAAGAGGTCTGTTTCCTTGGTGTCAGGCTGATTCAGCAGGATGTGGGGACCCTGGAGCAACTTTTAATAATTTGTGGTTTTCCCTGGAACTGGGTTCAGGGTCCAGTCAGCAGCTTCTCAAGATGGTGTCCAGCCTAAAATGGCGCTAGTCTAGCCTGCTGGTGTCTGGCCTCTCACAACAACAAAAATAAAACGTGTGATGGAAGCCTTCAAAGTCAGGGAAACCCAATTTCACTTTGTCATTTACTTTTTACTTAAAAAAATTTGGGGGTGGGGGAGCGAAGTAGGAGAGAGAAGAGGGGAGATGGGGAGTGGGGAGGAGAACATGAGGGATCAGGAAGATAGAGTTGGGGGAAAGACAGAGAAGGAGAGCAAGGAAAGAGATGTCTTGATGGAGAGAGCCCTTATGGGCTTAAGGAGAAACCTGGCGCTAGGGAAATGTCCAGGGATCCACAAGGATGACCCCAACTAAGAATCTAAGCAATAGTGGAGAGGCTACCTTAAATGCCCTTCCCCTATAGTGAGATTGATGACTTCCTTAAATGCCATCATAGAGCCTTCATCCAGTAGCTGATGGAAGCAGAAGCAGACACCCACAGCTAAGCACTGAGCAGAACTCCTGGAATCCAGTTGGGGAGGAGGGCAAAAGGGTCAAGACCACGTTGGGAAACCCACAGAAACAGCTGACCTGAGCAAGTGGGAACTCAGGGACCCCAGACTGACAGTTGGAGAATCTGCATAAGACCAAACGAGGCCTCCTGAACGTGGGTGTCAGTTGGGGGACTTGGGCAGTCTATGAGGCCTCTGGCAGTGGAACCCGTATTTATTTATCCCTAGTGCATGAACTGGCTTTTTGGAGCCCATTCCCTATGGAGAGATACTCTCTCAACCTGGATACTCGAGGGAGGACCTAGGTCCTACCCCAAATGATGTGACAGACTGATGATCCCCCATGGGAGGCCTCATCCTCTCTGAGTAGTGAATGGGGGGGGTGGTAGAGGGAATGGGAGTACTCCTGGAAGAGGGTATGTAAAATAAAATTGTTTTTAATTTAAACAAAAAAGAAGAAAAGAAACGGCTGCATAAACAGAACTGGATTGGCAGTAGAAATAGACGTGCTACCGTGGAAATGGGGGGGGGTTCACTGAGTCCTCCTGCCAAGACAAAGAACGCAGGCAACTGACAGCCTGATTAGCCTCTCCCAGGAATGAGCCATCTTATTGATTATTCAATACGAAGTTGTCAGCTCTGAAACAATATACACACCAGAAACAGAAACACACACTCAGCAGGTTACACTTCTAAATTTGTGAAGACATGTACATATGCATATATGTATGCATTCATGTATGTATGCATGTATGTATATATGTATATATATATGTATGTATGTATGTATGCATGCAACAGTAACTAACAGAAAGAGGCTGTCAATTTGAGATGGGGGTTGAGGACATGGAAGGGGTCCAAGGTAGGGGCAGGAGGCAGGAAACAGAAGTGGGATTAGAAAAATCACACAATTGTCTCCATTGTGCCAGCATCTAGTCACACATTTTTCTCCATAGTTTATAATAAAAATAAAAATATAGGGCTTACTCATCTGAATTATTATCTCTTCGCCCATCTGTGATTAGAAAGACATAGATGATAAAAGGAAATGACACCCCCACTTTACCCACAATGCCACTGTTTAGGTTTCCAAGTATGACTCCTTCCTATTTATCTCCACCATTAAAGAAACTTCCTCAGGCTGGAGGGATAGCTCAGCCGTTAAAGGCTAGGCTCACATCCAAAAAAGAAACTTCTGCAATGTTCAAAAAAATTTTTTTTCTGGAGACAATTCTCATCTTTACTAGATTTTGTTCGTAAGGTACAGGGTGTTTCCCAAGGTTTCACTCAGATCAGGTGTGAAACCCAAGCAACAAAAATTGATGGCCAGAGGCCGGCGTTGGTGGCACATGTTTTTAATCCCAGCACTCGGGAAGCAGAAGCAGGCAGATCTCTGTGAGTTCAAGACCAACCTGGACTACAGAGCGAATTCCAGGACAGGCTCCAAAGATACAGCAACCCTGTCTTGAAAACAAACAAACAAACAAAGCCACAGACAAAAACCCACTTGACTAGAATGCCTGCTCTACAAAGTGAATTCCAGGAAGGAGAAAAAAAAAAAAAGAAATAAAGGAGCCTAATTGAGTAGTATTAGCACCAGGGGCTTAAAAAGCAATGTAGCTAATTACTATTTCTTTTCAGTATAGCATATCTGTTGAGTCCACCTTCTTGCTTAAACCCTTTCCCCAGAAGGAAACCATCCAACACATCAGACGCCTGAGGCAGACCTGCATGGGACAGACAGTCAGTGTGACACGGCTGCTGTGGCCTGCTGCCCCTCCAGTCCTGTTTTTCTTCGTTCATTGCTCCTTGCTCCCCCACCTCCTCTCCACGATTGCATTGTGTAGTCCAGGTTGGTCCAGAATTCCCCACATCCTTTTGTCCTAGCTTCCCAGTTCACCGCCACCAGTGCTCCAGCCCTGTCTTTTACCAGAAACGGCTGCATGACTTTGGGCAACCTTTGACAACCTCAGTTTCTCACTTCGTGGTGGTGGTATCGGGTGAGTAGACTGTAGAGTGTTAATTGCAACTGCCCCACAGGAGCATGACTGCTTGCATTGTAAAACACTAAATTAGCATTGCCGGTGGCCTTCAACATCAACACAGCATCTTTTACTCCACGGAGGTATCCCTGGACCTGACCCCCTTTTGGCCTTAGAACTCCGTTTGCTGTCTGGATCCCTTTTGGGGACCAAGCTGCAGAAGTCAGGGACAGACACTCTCCCGTGGCTCCAGGTGATGGACCACTCCTGTTTGACTCCGCCCCACGGAGAGAAGGTGCGGTAGGGGGCGGGGTTGGAGGTAAGGGTCCGCAGGAGCGGTGAATATATTAACCCTTCTGGTCAGTCCCGCGCCAGCCACTCTCCTATGTGTAGGCTACCTCTGTGCAAGCCAATATGCTGCTGCTGCTGCTACTGCTGCTGCTAGGGCCTGGACCCCAACTCATCGCAGGTGAGTGACCAGGGAGGGTGAGTGATGACCGGCTTCCTTCAGCCTGGGTCAGATTCCATACCTCCTCATTTTTTTCTCACCGCCAGCAACTCGACAACCCTTACAGTGCCAGAAGCTTTAAAATCCCCAGTCCTGTCTTCAGATGCCCCCCACATCCACCTTCCCAGACACTCAGGAGCCCTGTCTCTGATTCCTTCCAAGGCCCTCCACTCAGGCTTTCCATTCAGGAACTCAGTGGGTGTGGGATATCAGAGTCCTCCCTCCATAATCCACAATTGTTACTGTGGTCCTCTCCAGCAGCCTGGAGCTCCCAGCCCCGGGGCTTGAGCCCTCAGCACTGTCAATCACTTCTCTTGCCTATAGGGTCTGAGGTAAGACTTCCAGGCAGGACCCTGTGAGTGGAAGGATTAGGGACAGGAATTAGGCTCCTGGGGGTGGGGTTTCTCTTGGTAACCCCCTAGTCCTAGGTGGTGTACAGTAAGACAGACAGGCACAGAACCAGCCCTGGCCTTACCTGAGTACTCAGGTGCAGGTGTGAAGTTTCTGCTCCGGAACAAAATCACCCAGATGAACATCGCAGATGCCACAGCTGCTCCAAGCAGCACCACTGGGTAACACCGATCAGGACGACTCACACTGGGTGTACACCAGCATCGAGTCCTTGCGCTTGTACAATGCCCCATGGGTCCTGGCACTGCCAGTGGAAGCTGCCCACAGGTAGACAGAGCAAACAGACCTCAGCCTGACCTGCCCCACCTATGTTGGCACAAAGGGAGTGTTTTCTTTGGTTCCAAACACAGTGCTGCTGTCTGTTCCTGGCCTGGGCCCTTGATGGGCTGTTCCAGCCTCTGTGATAGCAGAGAGAGGTTGGGATGGAGTGGGGGGAGCTGTGCAGATGGTTTCAGGGTACCATGTTGGGAGTGGTTAGGTTAGGAGTGTCTCACCTGGGCTTGGTGGCTCCTGAGGTCAGCAGACCTTTCCTAGAAGCCTTTCTGTGTGCCAGGGTATTGAGAGCTATGTGAGTCAGAGACCTGTTCCGGATAAGCACCAAGCTAGAAGGGCACCCCAATGAGCAGGCAGCACTTATAGAATAAAGGCCACCTTTCCCACTTGTAGAAAGAGACTGTGGCGAGTTGGCTGAAGAGAAGGCAGGAGCGGTAGTGGCATCTGCTTGACTGGAGGGACAGCTGGGCTCTGGAGCGGTAGGAAGGCTTGGGGGGGTCAAGCTTTGGATCTCCACAGGGACTTGGGGTACAGTGGAGCTGAGAGCTTTACCCCAAATCCATGGGGACCACAGAAGCTCAAGGCAAGTGTGTGAGCTGTTGGAAGAGGGAAGGCTTATCATCCAGAAAGGAAAGTGTAGCCTAGGCTGGCCTCAAACTTCTATCTAGATGTGGCAAGGATAACGCTTACTTCTGAATCTTCCTGCCTCTACCTTGAAGTGCTGCGGATACAGGCAGAGGCTACCATGTCTTTTTTGTACGATGCTGGAGATGGAAGCCCAGTGTGTGTCTGGCAAGCACTCTACCGTCTGAGTTAGAGCCCCGGTTTCTCTAAATCAGTTTTCTTCTCTCCTGAGCCACCTTTAGAACCCCCTCCCAGCCTCGAGTGTGGCACTTGAAGGAAAACATGATTGGATTTAAGCTTATTGTGGTGTCATCAAACAGGTCATTCTGATGGGAACACGTTCTAAGTGACAGACGAAAGTCACAGCAGCCCAGGGCCAGGCTGTCTCACACCCTGGAGTGGGGGGAAGGAGATGGGGTGGCTGCAGTCACTCGGCAAACAGACTTGGGAGTTGGGTCCTGCTCTCTTGCCAGCGTCCCCCGGGCCTGCCGGTTGCAGTCCCCCTTCCTTGTTGTCACCACACACAGGTGAAAAACCACCAGCGGCGTCAGCTCCGGTGCTGTGGGCTGTGGGAGCGTGGAGGCCACCTTTCCCAGCTGGTCTCCTTTCTTGTCTTTTAAATGCAGGGTTTTGGTTACACCTGTTGAGCGCCACAGGCGCCAGAGGCCCACCAGGACCCGGAGAAATGGCCGGGAAGGAAGGAAGCTAACCTCGAGGTGAAAATAAAAGTGGATACATAGGGTCCTGAAGTCTTAGGGGAGAGTCGAGAGGCTCAGAGTCTAGGAACCCCCAGAGGAACCCTCCTTTGTGCAAGGGCGCTGCTCAGCTTCATCTCTTACGACAAACAAGCACCTAGCCCGAGAAATAGTTAACGCCCAGCTTATTGTCCGACTGCGTCTGAAGTTGATAGGGGGAGAGCCATGAGATTCAGGGCATTCCAGGGAAAGAGACCAGCCTGTGCAAAATCCAGGGGTGTGACCTCGTCTACACTACGGTCTACAACTCAATTTTCTACTCACACTGCCTTCAAGATCTGGATTGTAATCGAATTCGTGATGTACAGGGTGCCATGAATGTCTTGTCTAACTTAATTCTGGGAATCGATGCCACTTTATCCTGTACTATGCAAATGAGGAAATGAAAGCCCAGACAGATGGGTAATTTGTCCAAGGGCACACACCTAGACAGGGAGATCAAACCAGACAATTGAAACATCTAGATCCTTCACAGGCTAGTGCCCTCCACTGGGGATAGGGAAGCGCTGACCTTAAACCTATGACCTTTGTTTACCCCTCAGCAACCAGGAAGTCACATGTGTACAAGCGTGGGCTCCTGGAACTGGCAGGGACCTTGAATTGCGTTGGTCCTCGATCACCGATCGCCTATATGAACTATGGCTGTCACTGTGGCCTGGGTGGCCATGGAAAGCCACGTGATGCCATTGACTGGTGAGTGTACACTGGGGCCCAGAGTACAAGATCTCCCAACTTCTAGGACAACCAAGGCCTATGAGGAAAAACCCCAAACTCAAGTCGGGTTTGACCAGGAAGATCCTAGGACCTAGTATTACCCTACATATAGAGGGGTTCCTGGCTCAGTGGGGAGACATCTTGGTACCAGCTAACCTTTACCTTGGTTGTGGGCTGATGACATCGCCTAGTAATAACATGAAGCTGTCTAGACTATTGTACAGTTTGTGGATCTCTGAGAATCCTTTAAGAGTCCCATTTCAGAGATAAGGAAATCAAGCCACAGAACCATCAAATCATTTATTGGGCCAGCACAGAGCACGATGAGAGCCGAGTTCTTTCTGGGACATTCTATTCAGCATCATGACTCTGCTCAAAAAGCAGCTGCAGCATGGTGCTCGTTCCCACTTGATAATGAAGACCCTAGGGCTCCCAGAGACTCAGACAGCAGCCACAAAGCTAATGAAGCATGCAGTGGAGAAGTGGCTGACCCTCCCCTCTGGAGACAGAAACTCCTGGCCTGCCTCTAAACCTTGGGTGCATCTGATGACAGCTATGCATTCCTCCACTCTGATTCGTACACCGTCTTCACAGTTGTCTCTGCAATTCCCACTCCCAGGAAGCCTCCCCTGAAGCTTACCTGGGGCTGCCACTTCCTCTGGACTCCCAGAGTCCCTCTGGATACCCCACACCCCTTAGCACGCGCCACGTAGCTGATCTGCCTTCCCAAGGGCAGGGTTGCAGTTGACTGGTGGATCCTTACCCAAGTGTTGACAGGTACAGGGCAGGTGTGGGGGCTTTCAGGGAACTGTCCGACGATAAATGTTTACCGATGGTCTATTATATGGCAGGGTGACTGGTCCTGGGGTACACTGTGAGAAAAAGAAATGATAGGGTCCCCAGTTCCAGTCTTAGAGGACAAGTGGTATGAGGTTTATAGTGAGAACTCATAATCTGCTTAAATGAAGGGGAAATGGTTTTATGACAAGAGATATTCCTAGCCTGAGGGGAAAGAAGGAGGAATGACCACTTCTGGGTGGAATCTGATGCCTGGGGCCAGACCTAATGGCAAAGAAGGCCATTGGGTTGTCCAGGCAGAAGGTACAACCTGGACTCAGGAAGGACAGGAAGCTCAGGGTCACTTGGCTAAGGATTCACCAGTCAACTCCAACCCTGCCTTTGGGGAGGCAGATCAGCTATGTGAAGCGTGCTAAGGGATGTGGGGTATCCAGAGGGATTCTGGGAGTCCAGAGGAAGTGGCAGCTCCAGGTAAGCTTCAGGGGAGGCTTCCTGGGAGTGGGAATTGCAGGTGAGGGTAGGTCCAGGTATGGTCAAGGAGTAAGGCAGGTAGAATCCTCAGGATTGGTATTGTGAGGGACAGCATGTCCATCAGAGGACACTAGCTCCTTGAGGATCTTTGTTAGCCCAGCCGTGATCAGATAGGGAGGGCAATAGAGTTCCCTCTTTCATGCAGCTATTGACCTGCCGACTCTGCTAACCCAGGTGCTGCCATCGTCATGACTGCTGCTACTTTCACGCTCGGGAGGCTGGCTGCAGCCCCAAGATAGACCTCTACCCATGGAAATGCATCAACCACAGCGTCCAGTGTGGTGAGTGCCCCACGCCATGTACTGTGACTTCCCCAAGTGTCCCCTGGGCAAGATCCAAATGGTTGCTGTGCCCTCGTAGTAAGAGGTACTACTGCTTCCCATTCTCCATAGACCACCTGATAATATTACCTAAAGAGAGACCTCTCCCACATGATAATATTACCTAAGGAGAGACCTCTCACACATAATATTACCTAAGGAGAGACCTCTCCCACATGATAATATTACCTAAGGAGAGACTCTCACACATGACAGTATTACCTGAGGAGAGACTCTCACACATGACAGTATTACCTGAGGAGAGACCTTTCACACATGATAATATTACCTAAGGAGAGACTCTGACACATGACAGTGTTAAGGAGTGACCTTTCACACATGATAGTGTTACGTAAGGAGTGACTTTTCACACCAAGCCCCTGAAATACACATACACATATTTCTCCAGTGTCTGGACAAAAAGAAGGAGAGAAATGACACTAGGTGTAAATAACTGGGTAGACAAGCTCATGATGTATCCAAACTGTAGAATATGCTCCAACCTGCAGGAAGAACCACATATTTGAGAGCCTGTCTGAAACAACAATAACAGAGACAAAAGTCAAACAAAAAGAAACTTCAAGAAAAACTGTGAACCATAGAGCTGGTGAGACTATGCATTTGTCCTTTTCTTCTGAGCTGTTGAGGACATGGCTTCCCTGGCTAGGGCTCTGCTCCTGACGTAGCTCCCCCACCCGTGCTGAGGCTCCCCCTCTCCTGCCTCAGCCTGCCAACTGTTAGGGTTACATGCGCACTCCACCCAGGGAGAAGTGAGATGTTTGCCTTTAAGGCGCTGGGTAATCTGGAGTGTAGCTCAGGGTGGAGCACTTGTCCAGCTATGGGAGCCTGGGGTGCCAGCACTAGGGCTCAGTGGTGCCCTTCCATTTAGTTTTCTTTCAAATGAGTAATCTACAGCCTATGGGTAGGGGTAGAGGTGGGGCAGTGAGATTCGGTTGTCTGGATAGCTGCAAATCAAGCAGGCACCAGGCTTTTCCCCATTCTTTCTTTTTCTATTTTTGACAGTACTAGGGATTAGACCTGGGCCTCAAACATGCTGAACAAGCGCTCTCCATTGAGCCACACAGCCCCAATTCACTCATTCTCTCTCTCTCTCTCTCTCTCTCTCTCTCTCTCTCTCTCTCTCTCTCTCTCTCTCTCTCTCTCTCTCCTTCCTTCCTTCCTTTTTTTTTTTTCAAGACAGGGTTTCTCTATGTAGCCCTGGCTGTCCTAGAACTTACTCAGACTCACAGAGATCCGCCTGCCTCTGCCTCCCGAGTGCTGGGACTAAAGGTGCACATCACCACTGCCCGGCTACATTTGCTTTCTTTGTAATAATCATCGACATTATGTTTTCATGTGCTTCTTGGCTGCTTTGTATCATTCGGAGACGTGCTCATTTGAGGATTTCACACAGGTCTCAGACAGTCCATATGTCCAGAAGTAACAGGCTTGGCCCACCCAGCTCAAGCTGGACCATAGGATGATTTCAGGTGGTTAGATAAAAGCCAGCATTCTGCAAGAACTTGTGAAACAGCTTTTCTATCCACCAAAATCAGTCACTTCCCTTGCCTCTGACAAAAGGTACATAAACTTACGGTAGCTGTCAGCATATCAAACCCCGTGATAACAGTCCATAGTCACAAGTACCCATTAAACACCTCAGAGCCCCACCTGGCCCTTCGCACCTCTTCTCCTATCCTAAATGGCCGGCTCCAGCTTACAGGCTCCCTCCTAGCTGCTACTTTCCTCCTACATCCCGCCAATCTCTCTCCTTTTCCTTTCTTTGTTGAAGATTTATTTGTTATGTATACAGTGCTCTGCCTGCATGTACGCCGGCAGGCCAGAAGAGGGCACCAGATCTCATTAGAGATGGTTGTGAGTCACCATGTGGTTGCTGGGAATCTCTGGAAGTGCAGCCGGTGCTCTTAACCTCTGAGTCATCTCTCTCTAGCCCTCTCTCCTTTTCTATTTCTCCGTTCTCTACTGTTCTCCCTTTTGTTATCTCCATTTTTCTCCCCCACTCTCTCACCTTCATCGCAGATAGCTCTGGCTAAGTTAGTGTTTTGTTGATTGTTGTTTTTTTCTCTCTGTCTGGACTCTTATTCCAGATGCCTCTAGACATTCTGTTTCTGTTATCCACAACAAAAACCTTCTCCCAAATGGAGTGGCCATTTTGACAGTTTCCTCACTGAGCCTCTTGCATGCAACTTTCAATAGGATTGTCTTTTTGCTGGTTTTTTTTTTTAATGTCTCAAATTCTCAACCCTTCTTGCGACTGTAGCTTCTGTTCTGTGGATTGCCACCTTTTCATGATAACATCCTTGATACAAACATGTTTCATTTGTCTGACATCCTGGTCAGCTATTTTCTTGTTGCCCATGGACTTGATGCTTTAAGAATCCACTGAGAAACACAGCACAGCAAAGGTTTGCCTGTCTGTTTCCTTCTAAGAGTTTGAGATTGATGGCAGTGATGCCCTTTGAGTAGGGTAGGTCTGACTTCACTCTTTCCCATACTGTGATACAACTGTCTCAGCACTGTTTGCTGGAGAGGCATTCCTCCTCTCTTGGATAACACCAGCACCTTTGTTGGAAATCACATGACCCTGGATGGATGGGTGATGGCTGCATCACACTGAGCTGTTGACAACCTATCTGAGCTGCAGTTTCCTTCCCTGGAAAGTTCAGTGCTGCAAAAGTGAAAAGGAGTTCAGAATGTGCTCTCTGTGTGTGTGTGTGTGTGTGTGTGTGTGTGTGTGTGTGTGTGTCCTAACTAAAACCCCAGTTTCTAGAGACTGCTCTGGGGCAGAAAGGAACATCATGAGACAGTGGGTTTAATACTCACTGCTCTTTGCCCTGTGTCCAGAGAAGGAAGGCAGAGCTAGCTGTGTACAGTTGGGGTGGGCCAGAGGGCTCAGTGGGTAAAGGTGCTTGCTGCCAAGCCTGATGACCTGAGTTTGGCCCATGGCTTCCACATAGTAGCAGAATGAAAAACCAAAGTGTGCTCGATGAATCCACCCCCCCCAACTCATCCCCACTAAAGAAAATGATCCCTTCAAACACCAAATAAATAAATGTAAAATTAAACTTTAAAGATTTATATATTCATGTATACGAGTGCTCTACTTGCTCGTATGCCTACATGACAGAAGAGGGCATCAGATCCCACTATAGATGGTTGTGAGCCACCGTGTGGTTGCAGGGAATTGAACTCAGGACCTCTAGAAGAGCAGCCAAAGCTCTTAACCCCTGAGCCATCTCTCCAGCCTAAAATAATTGTTTTAAAGAGTAAAGTTGAATCATTATGGAAATGTTACATCCCTTTTTCCGTGCTTTGTACATGCAAGGCAAGCACTGTACTCCAACTGAGCTGTATCCTGTTCATTTTGTGTTGAAGAAACTGAAGGACGAAGTCCCTGAACTACTAGCACAGGCAAAGGTGTGAAGTACTATTTTGTGGGGAAATAGATCTTATAGGTTTCCTACTCTCCCCTTCAATTTTCATGTTCTCCTCAGTTACACCCATGGGGGAATGGTGTCCATGGAATGTTACCGCTATGTTTGGCTGTTGGAGTCTGTGTTTGTTTTCAAAGCTCTTTCCCTGAGCCACACAGAAAGATCCAAAGTGTCTGTTATGCATTTTCAACAAAAATATTCTGTTATTCCATTTAGAGATATTCTGAACATAGTTGTTTATTTAATTACAGATTTGGCCTATTTTTCCATTTATGGGCCTGACAAAGATATTTTAAAAATTTCAGCCTATAATAATATTTACTAGCAGGCTTTAATTAATTTATTTTTATTTATATATATATATATTTTTGGTTTTTCAAAACAGGGTTTTTCTGTGTAGTCTTGTCTGTCCTGGAACTCAATCTAGACCAGGCTGGCCTTGAACTCATAGAGACCCCGTGCCTTGACCTCTCCAGTGGTGGGATTAAAAGTGTGCACCACTACTGCCTAGCTCAAGCTTTAAGTCTAAACCATGGGAGCTGGTTTCCTTTTCCTTTATATATTATTTGTTTTTGTGATAATCATCTCATACCTTAGTGCAGGTTGACTGGCCTTGAACTTTCCAAACTTCTGAGTCTCTGGATTGCTGGGATTACAAGTGGTCACCAGTGGCCTTGTTCTTGAATTTTTATTCTTTCAGCAGAGAGATTTCCCTGGAGCTCAGGCCATAGAGCAATGAGCCTGTCTTACTGATGAAGGTCTTTCTTGCCCAGGGAGAAGACTTTGCCTAGGTTGGAATACTGGGTGACTCCTTCCCAGCTCTGTGACCTTGGCTAAGTAATTCTTTTGAGCCTCACTTTTCTAGTCAGTGAAATGGGAATAATAAAACATAGTTGTGGGCTGACCAGATGCCTTAGTGGTTAAATGTGTTGGCCACCAAACCTGACAAATTGGGTTTAATCCCCAGGACCCACATATTAAGAGAAAGAACTGATTTCTGTAAATTGTCTCCTGACCTCCGTAATCCCTCTGTGATACACATGCACAAACACACACAAAAAAATAAGTTAAAAATATAATAAAACAAATTTAAAAATGAGAAACTTTGAAAAAAACAGTTGTTATGTTTGTATGAGTACTGGAAATAACGTAGGATTCTAGTTTATTCTCTCAACTTTGTCCCTCCCTCTCTCTGTCCTGTGTGTATGAATGCACATGTCATAGTTTGTGTAGTCTGAGGACAACTTTCAGGAGTCACTTCTCTTCCACCATGTGGGTCATGGGGATCAAGCTCAGGGTGCCAGGCTTGGCAGCAAGCACCTCTACCCACAGAGCCTTCTCACTAGTCCCTGAATGCTTTTTTTTTTTTGTTTTTGTTTTTTTTTGTTTTTTCGAGACAGGGTTTCTCTGTGGTTTTGGAGGCTGTCCTGGAACTCACTTTGTAGACCAGGCTGGCCTCGAACTCACAGAGATCCGCCTGCCTCTCCCTCCCGAGTGCTGGGATTAAAGGCGTGTGCCACCAACGCCCAGCCCTGAATGCTTTTAAAAAAGAGAGAGATTTATTTTATTTGTATATATATATATATATAGGTGTTTTGCCTGCTTGTATTGCTGTGCCTGGTGCCCACAGAAGTCAGGAGAGGGCTTCAGATACTGAGACCACGTTAGGGACTGTTATGAGCTGGTGGGTGCTGGGAATTGAACTCAGGTCCCAGCCTTCTCTCTAACTCCCATATGAAAAAACTAAACAGGAGAAGCACTGTACCTACTGTAACATGGATGTAGTAAACCTTGAGAACATGAAGAGTGACAGTAACCAGGTGGTTCCGTGTGTATGAAGTAGTAAATCATTGCAGACTGAAGAGCTGTGGGATTACTCAGAGGATCAGAAGTGGGGAAGCGACCTCGGGCTGTTTAAAGTGTACAAAGTTTCTTTGGGGTGATAAAAATGTTGTAGAAGTAAATACTAACTTTGTGAATGTACTCAATTTAACTAATTTGTTTCAATAATTACTTACCACCTAATTAGTTAATAAGCTGTCTTTTTTTTTTCCTTTCTGTTTTTTGTTTTTTTGAGGCAGGGTTTCTCTGTAGCTTTGGAGCCTGTCCTGGAATTCATTCTGTAGACCAGGCTGGTCTCAAACTCACAAAGACCTGCCTGCCTCTGCTTCCCAAGTGCTGGAATTAAAGGCATGTGCCACTACAACCCGATTTATAAGTTTTTTTTCCATATGCATTGGTACTTTGCCTGTATGTATGTTTGTGTGAGGATGTTTGATCCCCTGGAACTGGAATTACAGACAGTTGTGAGCTGCCATGTAGGTGCTGGGAGTTGAACCCAGGTCTGCTGGAGAAACAGCCAGTGCTCTTAACCACTGATTTTTTTTTTTTAAGATTTATTTATTTAGCCAGCCAGTGGTGGCACATACCTTTAATCCCAGTAGTCGGGAGGCAGAGGCAGGAGGATCTCTGTTTGAGGCCAGTCTAGTCTACAAAGCTACACAGAGACTCCCTGTCTCGGTAGGAAAAAAAAAAAAAAGATTTATTTAGTACAGTGTTCTGTCTGCATGCATGGCCAGAAGAGGGCACCAGATCTCATTACAGATGGTTGTGAGCCACCATGTGATTACTGGGAATTGAACTCAGGCCTTCAGAAGAGTAGCCAGTGTTCTTAACCACTGACCTATCTCCTCAGTCAAGCTAACTGTCTTGATTAAAGTTACTACTGTTGCTATGATGAAATATTATCACCAAAGCAACTTGGGGAGGAAAGGGGTCATTTGACTTACATTTCCACATCACTTCATCACTGAAGGAAGCCAGGACCAGCACTAAAACAGGTCAAAAAACCTGGAGGCAGGAGCTGATGCAGAGGCCATGGAGGGGAGCTGTGTACTGGCTTGCTTCCCCTGGTTTGCTCAGCCTGCTTGCCTGCCTGCCTTCCTTCCTTCCTTCCTTCCTTCCTTCCTTCCTTCCTTCCTTCCTTCCTTCCTTCCTTCCTTCTTTCCTTCCTACCTTCCTTCCTTCCTTCCTTTTTTTTCTTTGTTTTTTTGGTGTGTGTTTTTGTTTTGTTTTCACAACAAGGTTCCAGGGCAGCCAGAACTGTTACATAGAGAAACCCTCTCTTGAAAACAAAATAAAACAGGGAAAGGTCAGATGGAAGCAACACAAAAACAGCAGAGCAAGCACCTTTTTTTTTTTTTGACAGTGTCTCTATGCAACCCTAACTTTCCTGGAACTCACCCTGTAGACCAGGCTGGTCTTGAACTCACATAGATCAACCTGCCTCTGCCTCCCAAGTGCTGGGATTAAAGATGTGAGCCACCACACTGTATAAACACAAACGTCTGTGGGTTTTTTGTTTGTTTTTGTTTTTGTTTTGTGTTTGTCTAGCCTTGGCGGCACAAGGTGTCCTGCTGTGAGCTTGGTAACTCTTTCCCAGAACCTTGCTATTTACAGCCCACTTGGCCTCTCTGGCATGACCCCCTCTTGTCTGCAGCTTTCTGCTGTGGATAGTGCACGGTCCTGTCATCTCCAACATCCTTTCTTCTCCACGGCCGCTTCCTTGCATCTTCACAAATGACCTTCAGGGCCGATTATAGTGCTGATGGCCCTACCCCACCCTGTCTGACTTCCTGACTTTCTTTTGAAATCCAAGTAGATGTCTTCATGACTCTCTAACTCTTAAATTTTCCATGCATGCAAAACCAGCATCATGGGTGACGCCAAGGTCTTGCTTGAACAGTTATAGTCTCTCCCTGGCCCACACAGCAGCCTTTCAGTTCCTGGCAAGTAAAACATGGGACAACACATCCCAGGTATCTGTGGCTCCGTGGTTTTGTTGGAGTGGGTGTGGCCTTGTTGGGGGAAGTGTGTCAATGCGGAGACGGGCTTTGAGGTCTCAAATGTGTTCAAGCTACTGCCCAGTGTCTCACTATGTAGCTAAGGATGGCCTTCAATTCCTGATCCTCTGGTCTTTGCTCCACTTTCCACATGCTGGAATTACAGGTGTGCTTTACCATGTCTTGTTATGTGCATAATGAAATGCACGGGAAGTGAGGCATGGTGGTACACACCTGTAATCCCAGGACTTGGGAAGCTGAGGCAGAAAGATTGCTTTGAATTTGAGGTCAGCTTCGGCTACATAGTGAGTTTGAAGTCAATCGGGCTTCAAATTTGTTAGGTAGTCAAGGTCACCTTGACTTTCAGATCCTGCCTCCACCTTTCTTTTTTTTTTTTTTTTTTTTTTTTTTTGGTTTTTCGAGACAGGGTTTCTCTGTATTGTTTTGGAGGCTGTCCTGGAACTAGCTCTTGTAGACCAGGCTGGCCTAGAACTCACAGAGATCCGCCTGCCTCTGCCTCCCGAGTGCTGGGATTAAAGGCGTGCGCCACCAACGCCCGGCCCTGCCTCCACCTTTCAAGTGTTGGGATCACATGAGTGTGCCACCATGTCAGTTTTGGTGCTGGAGATAGAACCTAGAGTTATGCTTCATGCTGCCAGTTTGGTTTTTCGAGACAGGGTTTCTCTGCATTGTTTTGGAGGCTGTCCTGGAACTCGTTCTGTAGACCAGGCTGGTTTCAAACTCAGAGATCTGCCTGCCTCTGCCTCCCGAGTGCTGGGATTAAGGGCGTGCACCACCAGCAATGATCTCATTCTATTTACTTACTTTTGACTTTTTTTGGTGGTGGCAGGAACAGAATCTAGCTAGGGCTTCATTCATGCTAGGCCAGTACTTGCCCTCAGCAGTGCTCCTGACATAAAGGTTAGACAAGGTCACAGGTTAAGACAAGAAATGCAAACCTAGGCCTGATAGTTGCCAGGCACCCAGTCTTACCTGAATGGATTCCTAAGTGACACAGGGTAGTATTGACAAAGAAGAGAAGCCAGGAGTTCGTCCATTTGACAAGCCAAGTTACTTTCTTGGGTAGAGCTGGCTGTCATTGCTGCCTCTTGGAGTGGTCTTATCCATGGAAGGTTATTGGAAAGCTATCAAGTATCACATAAGTGCAAATTATGACCTGTTCTGGCTCCAGACTTACTGACATCCCTGGCATTTATTCTGTGTCTGTACGTCTCTGCTCTAACCTCAGTTTCCCTACTTCTTCCAGGGCCCGCAGAGAACAAATGCCAAGAACTCCTGTGCCAGTGTGATAAGGAGCTTGCAGAATGCCTCGTAGGGACAGAGTACCACCTGAAATACCTCTTCTACCCCTCGGTTTTATGTGAAACGGACTCACCCGAGTGCCACTGATAGGCTGGTCTTGAGATGTCCCTTTGCCCATGGAGATGAAGTTCGCTTTCAGCGATAAACAACAGAGTTCAGTCTCTGCGGGAGGTAGTATAGGCCAAGCCATAAAGCCTCGTGTTTGCTTTCTCCCTCCACCCAGGAACTCGGGGCCTGTGAGCCTGTGGAGTTGTTAGTCTGATGAAAGCTCAGAGTCCTGGGCCTGCTTTCTACAACTACTACTGTGTTGGGCTGGTACCAGCTCTGAGGCACAACTGTTACGAAAGTGTGCTATCTTCTGACCTGCTGCTCATGGCTAGTGGTCAACTGGGGATGAGCTCCTGTTTGTAGGCTTGACTGTGGTAATAAGATGGCCACATGATACAACTAAGAACTGTTCCTGTAATAAAATTATCCCCTACCTTTCTCTGTCATTAATAAGTAAAATTTATTTCCTGAAAGCTGGGTGTGATGACATACACCTGCAGTATTCTACCAGGAGACTGGGGCTGAAAGGTCACCTGAGCCCAGGAATTTGACACCCACTTGGGTAGGACAGAAGACCTTGTTTCTAAAAGAAAGAGAAAACTGTTTCCTGGGCTGATAACACAACTGTGAGTTAAAGCGTCTGTGTTGCATGCTTGAGATCCTGAGTTTGATTTCCAACATCTCAAGAAAAAATGAAAAGAAAAGAAAATGTAGAGCAATCAATGAGCACTAAAAAGTGAAAACACAGGCCAAAAGAATGACTCCATGGTTAAGAGCGCTTTCTGCTCTTCCAGAGGACCTGAATTCGCTTCTCAGAATGCATGCTATTTAGTGCAACTGTTTTGACTCTGGCTCCAGAGAATCTGACATCAGGCAACTGCCTTCATGCACATTCACACACACTCACACACACACACACCACAATTAAACCTTTTTTTTTTTTTGAGACAGGGTTTCTCTGTATTGTTTTGGAGCCTGTCCTGGAAATCACTCAGTAGACCAGGCTTGGTCTTGAACTCACAGAGATCCACCTGCCTCTGCCTCTCGAGTGTTGGGATTAAAGGCGTGCGCCACCACCACCCAACGTCACAGAGATCCACCTGCCTTTGCCTCCCAAGTGCTGGGATTAAAGGCATCTGCCACCACTGCCCAGTGCATTCCAAAGCTTTGGGATGCTTTGTCTTTAAAAAGGGTTTAATTGTGACGTCGGGATCCACCTTTCATGAAGGTAAATGTATAGTGGAGGAAAGGAAAAAAAAACAACTTTTTGGGAATGATTGGATGCTACTCTGAATTAACCCTGATTCTGGAAGATTCCAAGAAACATTGTGACCCTACAGTTACAGTAGGTGTTTATGGAGTTCAGATGATAAACAGTTTTGGCTGAAGTCTGACTCACAGTAGGGTCAGTGGGTTCCCAAACTCATCCTGTGGTTATTTCCCCAGTCCCAGGATGTATAATTGGGATAGATATAAATTGGCAGAATTCCCACACTGTTCCCTGACCTGTGGAGTGAGGGCTGTTACGGTTGGAAAGGCCAGTGGAAGGCGCTGGAGTTGCCTCTATTAGAGAAAATAGCGAATCAAAGACAGTATCACTTCCATGAAAGGGTTACAAAATTAAGCTGGTTGTGGTAGCGGTGATCCCAGCACTCCAGAGACAGAGGTAGGTGTTATGTCTGAGAGTTTGAAGTCAGCTTGGTCTACAAAGTGAGTTCCAGGAAAGCCACACAGAGAAACCTTGTCTTGAAAAATAAAACAAAAGAATTATGAAACTCAGTGCCACCATGAAGGACTTGAAAGATGCAGGGGTCGAAGTTCCCACCGTGTCTCCCTTTAACTCTCCTCTGTGGCCGGTGCAGAAGACAGATGGGTCATGAAGCGTGACAGTTGACTACTGAAACTCAGCCAAGTAGTGACTCCAGTTACAGCTGCTGTAGCAGATGTGGTGTCCTTCCTTGAGTAGATCAACACATCTGGTACATACTGATGCATTTTTCTGTGTATCTGTCCATAAGGACCACCAAAGGGAATTTGCTTTCATTGACAAGGCCAGCACTTTACCTTTACAGTTTTACCTCAAGAATGCATTGACTCTCCAGCCCTGTGTCATAACTATGAATAATCTTATGCTGATTGGGCCAAGTGAACAGGAGATAGCAACCACTTTGAACTCACTGGTAACTCATATGTGTATCAGAGGATGGGGGAATAAATCCAACCAAACTTCAAGGGCCTTCTACTCAGTGCAATTCTTAGGAGTCCCGTGGTGTGGGGCCTGCAGACGTATTCCTTCTAAGGTGAAGGATAAGTCACTGCACCTAGCCGCTCCCACCACCAAGAAAGAAGCACAACATTTAGTGGGCCTATCTGGATTCTGGAGACAGCACATTCCTCCCTTGGCTGTGTTACTCCTGCTCGTATACCAAGTGACTAGGAAAGCTGCTAGCTTTGCATGGGGCCTGGAACAGGAGAGGGCTCTTTAACAGGTCCAGGCTGCTGTGCAGGCTGCTCTACCACTTGGACCACATGATCCAGCAGACTTGATGTTACTCAAGGTGTTAGTAGCAGATAAGGATGCTATTTGGAGCCTTTGCAGACAATTATTCTCCCTTTGAAAGACAGCCCTCGGCCTTACTGGAAATTGAACGTTTGACAATGGGTCACCAAGTTACCACGTGATCTGAACTGCCTGTCCATCATAAGCTGGGTGTTATCTGACCCAGCCAGTCATAAAGTGGAATGTGCACACCAGCAATCTATTATCAAATGGAAGTGGTATACATGTGATTGGGACCGAGTAGGTCTTAAAAGCACAAGTAAGAGGTTAGGTGGTGGTGGCGCATGTCTTTAATCCCAGCACTCAAGAAGCAGAGACAGAGACAGGAAGATCTCTGTGGGTTTGAGGCCAGCCTGGTCTACAAAGAGAGTTCCAGGACAGCCAGGGCTATTACAGAGAAATCCTAACACACCCTGTCTCAAAAAGTAAAAACAAAATAAAACAAAACAAAAAGGCACAATCAAGTTACATGAAGAAGTTACCCATTTAAATGCCTATGGTTTTGTCTTCTGTTAATATGCTGTTTGTTGCCAAGCGTGCATCTACAGCCTCAGGGGGTATGATGATTGGGTGATTGAGAAGACAAGACCAGGGCCTGGTTTACTGATGGTTCCGCATGTTATGCAGGCACCACCCAGAGGTGGACATCTTTACAACCCCTTTCTGGGAAGCCCTGAAAGATACTGGTGTAGGGAAATCTTCAGTGTGCAAAACGTCAGGCAGTACACATGGCCATACAGTTTTTTGGTAGGAAAAATGGTCAGATGTGTGACTGTTCACAGATTCATGGGCTGCAGACAATGGACTGGCTGAGATGGTCAGGGACTTGGAAAGAACATGATTGAAAAATTGGTGAGAAAGACTCCTGGGGAAGAAATATGTGGATCGATCTCTCCAAAGGGCAAAGGATGTGAAGATACTTGTGTTCCATGTAAATGCTCATCAAAAGATGATTTCAATAGAGGAGTTCAGTAGCAAAGTAGATAAGATGACTTGCTCTGTGGACAGTCAGCCTCTTTTCCTAGCCATTGTAGTCAATGCCCAGTGGGCCCATAAACAAAGTGGCCTTGGTGGCAAAGATCAGGGTTATACTGAGCTCAATAACAGGAACTCACCAACGCTGACATGGCTACAGCTACTCAGTGTCAGATCCCATATAAGGCACCATTCCCAAGGTGACTAGCCAGCAACCTGGTAGCAGGTTGATTGACTACATTGGACCACTTCTTCAGTAGAAAGGACAATGCTTTGTCCTTACTGGAGTAGATATTTATTCTGGTTATGGATTTGCCTTTCCTACACATACCACTTCTGTCAAAACCCCTGCCTGTGGACTTACAGAATGCCTTATCCATTGTCAGAAGATTCCATATAGTATTGCTTCTGACCAAGGAACTCACTTCACAGAAAGACAGTTACAACCGTGGGTTCACGATCTGCTAACCTTACTATGTTCCCCACCATCCTGGAGCAGCTGGCCTGATGAAAAGATGGGATGGCCTTTGGAAGACACAGTAATAGCACCATGCAGGAGGCAGAAGCCTGGAAGGTTGGGGCAGGGTTTTCCACTAGGTGGAACATTTTTTGAACCACTGTCCCATATATTGTATGCTTTCTCCCATAGCCAGGATCCACAAGAATCAGGGGGTAGGAAAGGGAATAGTTTCATTCACTATCACCCCTATTGACTCACTAGGAGAATTTTTGCTTCCTGTTCCCATGATCTAAGTTCTGTTGGTTCCAGAGGGGGGTAGTGCTCCTAGAGCCACAACCAACATTTCATTGAGCTGGAAACTCAGACTTCTCTCTGAGTTTGGGCTTCTAATGCTCCTAAACCAACAGGCTAAGAAAGGATAACAGTGTTAAGAAAGGTGATTGATGCAGATTACCATGAGGAAAGTAGATTGCTTGCCTACAATGGAGGTAAGAAAGATAATGCCTGGCGTGTAGGAGACCTTCTAGGGTGCCTTTTGGTGCTACCATGTCCTATAATGAAAGTCAACAGGAAACTACAACAGCCTAATTCAGGAAGCCTAATTCAGGCGACAAAGGGTATAGACCTGTCAAGGATGAAGGTATGAGTCACTCCTCCAGGAAAAGAGCCAAGACTTGGTGAAGTTCTTGCCAGGGGTGCAGGAAACGTAGTAGAGGAAGGTGGTTATAAATGCCAGCTAAGGCTATGTGACCAGTTACAGGAATGAGGATTATAGTTGACATGAGTGTTGCTGTTTTATTTTGTTAAGAATGCATTTGTACAAATGTTCATGTTTTCTCGCCTCGATTTCTTTATGTAATATAACATCAATTAAGAGAATATGAATGGTTATCCTATTTAAGTTTGAGATACTGAAAGGATGTCCCTCAAGGGACACTGCCACCTCTTCTGTACTTATGTGTGTGTGATGGCACGAATGAGTTATGTTGGCATAATTATGACTGGTTAAATACATAATGCATGAGCCGGGCGTTGGTGGCGCACGCCTTTAATCCCAGCACTCGGGAGGCAGAGGCAGGTGGATCTCTGTGAGTTCGAGACCAGCCTGGTCTACAGAACGAGTTCCAGGACAGCCTCCAAAGCCACAGAGAAACCCTGTCTCGAAAAACCAAAAAAAAAAAAAATACATAATGCATTTGTCAATTGTATGTGGAAGTTATGTTTAGGTGTCATTATGACCTCTTACTGTTTTCATTTGTTAACTAATCATGCCCTAAGGACATATGATTATGTGTCAAATTAACAAGGGGTAGATTTATGATGGCTATTCTTGGTAGTCTCCTAGAACTAAAAAAATGGAAGACATAACTATGAGGAATTTTTGCTTAATTTGAAATAAGTACATCCACTTCTAATCCAGATCTTTGAGGTAGGAAGACACCTCAAAGGTG